AGGCTAAAACAATACCCATGATAGTGGCTATCAGTGGCTGTTCTGGAAAAAATGTTTTTCGTTAAAAACTAAAAATGAAATTTCAACGTTTTTAACATTAGTCTTATAGCAAGTAGCTATTGCAGTTTTAAGAAAGTGTAAATAAATGAATTGTAACATATGCTTGTAACAAATCATTTACAGTACAGAGGCAAATTACTAAATATAGTACAAAAGAAAGGACAACCCTACGAATTATATTTAGCATTGATTATAAAATCCACTTGGGGTGTGTTACAAAGCAAGGGATGATTACGACTATTCAAAAAGGAAGAGTCTTTTACCTCAAAACAATATATACTAGACTAGGCCAATATTGTATTAAAACTCAAAAGGAACAGAGAAGGGCGTTTTGTAGTTTTCGGGGATGCTAAATGAACTTTGTTTTAACGATGCGGAATGGGCGGGTTGTTCGATGATTCCACAGATTATAAAATAGAAACGGTATGGGCCATAAACATAAACAATAATAACCCGAAAATAAACATGTTTGTATTACAGTTGAACCTCGTTTGTACGAACCTCGATAAAACGAATTCCTCGATAAGACGAATTTTTTTAAATCCCCTTGACACTTTCATATAGGTCAATGCTAAAAACACCTCTATACAACGTAGTAATTAAGTTAAAAACCTCCATAAGACGAATTTGTTTGTGACATGGGCTAGGACTGATTAACCTCTATACAACGAATATGCTTAGCACAAAACCTCTACAAGACGAACGTGACCTCTATAAGAAGAATTTATCATAATCTTAACCTCCATAGTACGTAGTTTTCAAAACAAACAGAAGCTTGTCTCAACATGAAACCCCCACCCATCCCTCCTCCTACCTCAGTCATTGTTTGGAGAAACCTTGGAGCGAGGAGAAACCTCTATAAGAAGAATAACAGCAGCATTAAACCTCGATAAAACGACCCTCTTTATTAAGAATACCTCTATAGTACGAATTTTTCCCCTACCCCTTGAAATTCGTCTTATAGAGGTTCAACTGTATTATTTCAATGCAACCGTGAAAAAATGTTCAAAACACATGTAGAGATTATTAGTGTAGATTCTATCCAGTGACGTCATTCTTTTATTATTTTGATCCATACCGTGTCTGTTCTAATATCCGTTCCGCGATGCCAATGACTAACATGTTGCAACCAGAGAACACATAATATTCGCAACTCGCAACAATGCTGACCAACAGCTGATGTTAAATTTTATAGCGACTTATGAGTTTGTTATTGAAATTTATTTTAAATATTTATTTTCAATATAGACTGTTCGTCTGGAAATGTTTTTAAGTAAACTAAGAATGAAGAGAGGTCTACCGAAGAGAAATTGGTTTTACAACATAATTAAAAGTGGAACAAATTAAAAGGAAGATGACGTAAAACAAGTAGCTTTAAGGTATATGTTTTAATAGGTTAACTAAGAGTTCCAAATTAATAGTTTGATTTAAACTTATTCTAAACGTTATTCCGATTCGTAATAAAAACCAACCTCTTCACACTCGTGTAAATCATATGCTGTAGACTCTATCGTATTATGAACAAATAAAGACATTTGAAGCATAAGTAAAATCAATGCCGTTTTTGTCTCGCAAACCCTTTAATACAGCCGAAAACCACAGTCATCTTAGAGAATTCAGAGTGTTTATTTGCAGTTTTAGCACATTTCCCTATAGGGAAGTAGCTACTGTATTACCGTAGGTGGCATGGTAAGACCTGGGCCCGGGACCGATATACTTTATTTCATTTTGATGTCACTAGAGGCCAAAACCACTATTCAATAAAATTTGCCTCACACCTTCAAGCCAAATTTTATCAAAATCGGACAAAAAATAATTCAAGTTATCGCGTTCATGGACGTTTATACAGGGTTAGTAAAAAGTCTGGAGACCACCTGTTAATTTTTTAACGGCCCATACTAGAAAAACTAAACTCTGCACACCTTTATGACATGTTATGAAGTACTTTATGGACATAACCGCCACTTGGTGTACATCCCCAAGATGGGGGATTTCGGGGGAAACTCAAAAATTTCAAACGGTAAGACCCATCGAGTGACCCCTCATTTTGAAGGTCCTGAGAAAAGAAAAATAATAACCAAAACTAGAGGTCTCTATCTCAATCCAGTAAAAAATTGCAGCTGATTGAAATCTTTAGAAATCAGAATTAACTTACAATTTTATATTAAATTTGCTGCCATATTTTACTGTGTTAAGATAGAGACCTCTAGTTTGCGTTGAATTTACCAATTTTATTTGGGGCTTACCAATTGAAATTTTTGAGTTTCCCCCGAAATCCCCCATTTTGGGTTTGGAAACCAAGTAGCAATTAGGCTCAAAAAGTACTTCATAAAATGCTATAAAGGTGTGCAGAGTTTAGTTTTTCTAGTGTGAGCCGTTACAAAATTTACAGGGGGTCTCCAGACTTGGAAAGGTGCAAGTTAAATTTAACTTCTCAGAATTTCAATTGGCTGCCATTTATTACTGGATTGAGATAGATGCCTATAGTTTGCGTTGTTGGTTTTCTTTTACCAGGACCTTTAAAATGAGGGGTCGCTCGATGGGTTTGTTGAATGAGGGTTACCGTTTGAAAATGTTAAGTTTCCCCCAAAATCGCCCATTTCGGTGATGTACACCAAGTGGCAGTTAAGCCCAAAAAGTACTTCATAGCATGCCATAAAGGTGGGCCGAGTTTAGTTTTTCTAGTATGAGCCGTTAAAAAATTTACAGGGGGTCTCTAGACTTTTTACTAACCCTGTATAAACGTCCGTGAACGCGATAACTTGAATAATTTTTGTCCGATTTTGATAAAATTTGGCTTGAAGGTGTAAGGTGCAATAAACTTGAATGAGTTCGCGAACCAGCATGATCGGACCGTGGGAACGGAGGTTTATGGGGGTAAAAATTGGGTTTCTCAATGTTGACCCTTAAATCATAAATTTTCGAATTTCTCTTCAAACCATTTTAAAAAGCATAAAAAAACAAATAATTTAGTATCTTGTGTTTTTGTAAGGTTATTGGCTACGGAGACTATTCAAAAAATTGTAAATTTAAAATTCCTTTGTTATTCTTATGGAGAATAAGTTAACAGCGGTAGTCTTGTTCATGTATATATTTTTATCAAACTTGGTAAATTATTTATTTTATACTAAGCTTTTAATATTTTGTTAAAAATACACTTTATTACCCTCCCTGTAGCAGCATACCTAGGTACTTGTTCCCCTTAAAAAATAGTTAATTAATCCGTAAAAAATATAATCATGCTTTTAGTTAAAATATGGCCTGAACGTTATTAATTAACTCATTAACAATAATTAATTTAATCGATGTAAATTACATCGATAAATTGCAACAATAAATTGAATTATTACAACTATATCAAGATACGATAAAATAATCGATACTACAATCAACGCATTACAAGATTATCATTAAAAATATACTATTATCTACCATGATTAGATTGTTAGAATCAATCATCCTGTACCATTTGTACAATAAGATTTCAAGTGTTCCTGTTTATTTCAGTAGATGTTGTTTGTTCATACCGAGGTTGTTCATACAGTAAATTCAGTGCTTAACCCCATTTCGGGGGTTTTTGATAACGATTAATAAAATATTTGAATAAGAAATATTTGAACAGATTGATGATTAGGAATTTTAGTTGTAACTATTTTGAAGTGGATTTAATTTTTAATATATAAATATTGAAGTAAGATGAAGATCTATTTTTTTACCTACTAAAAATGAAAAGTAAATTAAAGATAAATTGTCCCTGGTAAGAAGTGTAACAAACAAGTGTACAATCCATTACGACATAGCGTAATGGTATAATGCCGTTAATCATCAATACAAACACCCTATTCCGTAGTATAAATTATCACGTTATTGAATACCAATGAGAATTATATTTAAAGAGTATAATCCCAGAAGGCCAATGCTGTACAATGCCGGATGCAAGAACAGGACTTCTCTGTGTCTCGTTTTTGTTGACATTAATATCCAATGATTTACACTTATCAGATTTGAGATGAATTTGAGCTCTGCGTCCTCTAGTAAGTGTTAAAGTAAAATAACTATTTGGGTCATGGGTTTTAGTTTACCTAATTTCATTCCCACCGGATCCCTTATAATAGACCTTATAATTTACATAGTTTAGCTTTTTTAAATTATTGAATTTCTTAAAACATGCATTGTGTAAAAGACTAAAAATACTTTATTCAATGACTAGCCTATATGGGCTGGGATAGCGGAATTCTACCCTCGGAAATTTACCCCCATGAAGAACACCTACGTCATTTTGACGTAACGATGAATGGGGTCTATACATGGTCGAGAAACAGCCCGCGACTGGAAATTTACCCCCATTACATTATTAAATAATCAACATATAATTGTTTGCTTATAAAGTGATTTGCCATAACACGGAATTCTATCCCCGGAAATCTTCCCCCTGTGGTCGCGGCTACTATACGTATCGGCCAAGATTCATTGTTGTAGTTGATTTTATTAATTAGTAATCTAACCTAACCTAACCTAGTACTGGATATTAGGAGGTAATGATTAACAAAAGAGCCGTTGATTTACATAAACCAATTAATATAATCAAATACAATAATGAATCTTGGCCGATTCGTAGCATAGCTGACCAAGGGGTAAATTTCCGGCGGTAGAATTCCACTACCCCAGCCCATATAGGCTAGTCAGTGAATTAAGTATTTTTAGGCTTTTACACAATGCATGTTTTAAGAAAGTTGTTAATTAAAAAAAAAAAAAAAAAAAAAAACTGACTGTAAATAGACACCACTACAGCTAAACAAATCATTAAACATAGTAAACATTCATATTTTAAGCTACTAATGTATCATACGTAGAAGACTCATGCAATAATTTGACAAATGCAACATTGACAAGAATAATCATAGGTAATTAGTTTATGCAAGACATGATTTTTAGCTTACTGTTTTGTCAGTTGTTGACGTTGTTGAAGAATGCTCCACTAGAAACAGACAAAACAGTTTCGTTTTAGAACACAGAAGTAACGTAAAACTACAATTAATATTTGTTTTACGATTTTTACAGGGCGCAAAAAAGTTCCAGTAAAGTTAAATATTTCAAAAAAATAATAAAGACGGAGCTTTGGAACTTGGTACAAAGTTACAGGGTATAAAAACAATTGAAAAACATTAACCAGTGATACTTTGATCTGCATTTCTAACATGATTCCCGTACGTTTAACTCCTAGCGGGCCACCCCCCCCCCCTGTAGAGGTAGCGCATCACTGAACAATAAGTTATTAGTATATTACGTTACTAGTCCTGAAAATAGGTGTTTGCCGGACAAGTGTGGTCGTTCCCGTGCGAGACGAAGTCGAGTACGGGATTACCATACGAGTCTGGTACACACATTTTGGACGAGTGACGTACGAAATTTTACACCATACTACTAAATCTGTACAAATCCTTATATATTACCACTGACTTACCACTGTGTTATGTTTTTATTTAGTAACACTCATTGCCAAATGCAGTATAATCAGCTGTTTGGTGTCCGGTAAAACTCATTACAGTACAGTAGTACGCAATGAAACCCCCATGGGAAGTTTGTCAAAATAGTGTAGTGTGGCGTAAAATGATTTTAACGACCTACTTTAGGCCAAGCTTTGTAGCTCCATCTGTATTACCTTTTGAAATATTTAACTGTCCCTGGACTCTTTCACCTAGCATAAAAATGCCCCATTTAAAAATTATTAATTTATAACCAGGCAGGTGTAATAGTAGCGAATTTGATTTGAATTATTTAAATTTACAGACGTCGAACTTCATATTAAACACATAATTTTATAATAAAGCAGTATATCTCTAGAAATTAAGTTTAAACTAAACCTAAGTTCGATGGTATCAAATTTAATTTGATTGAACTATGGTTTGGGAAAACCTAGAAAATTTTTACACAGTATGTACAGTTGTACACGTTATCTTGGCCACCATTATTGTGTGACATAAGAATAGGTTAAATTATTATACAGTAATATCATGTTATTGCATTCTTATGACTATACAGGATGAGTTTCTACTGATCGTGTTAACTTCGCCAGTAGGTTCTACTCACTAAAAGGAACAAAAAAATTCATATAAACCCATGCCCGATTTTCAACCGTTTGGCTGTAATAGGGGATTTTGTGTTTTTCTTATTTTATTAGACTTTGCTCCACAATTTATGTAATAAAAACTTAACCAATTACTTCAGAGAGTTATAGTTAAAATCATTGGAAAGAATATTAAATTTTCTATAAATCAAAGGTTTCATTCAACAATTATACCATTACATAGTCCACGTTATATCCAAAATAAAGTAAAAATTGCATTAAATTAATTAGTTACAATAATTTTCATGAGCCCATTTTGATACATAACCCTGCATCTATGCAATGTTGAAATGCATAAAAAACTTGGCCATTTAATAATCTTTCAAATGATATTGTATTCAATACTATTATTGATATAAACCAGTGAGAAATTACTAATAAACTACAATAAATAGTTTGTTCCCCGACACTGTTTTTTTATTACAGTATTATAATCAATGAAAGGGATGGTAATTCTTTAATATGGTTATCCTTTGTTCTATACACACACAATGTAACATAAATCGTGAAAAATAATTGTGCGCGCTATCTCAGATATACAAATGCCTCGAAATTTGTCATAAACCGACCACATTACTGTCACTAAAAGAAGGAATGCCAATAATAATAATGTGAAACTTAGGTACACCCAAGCTGTGCAACCGAACCAGACTGACTATAAAAAACATCGTAGGAACAATCATAAGCATAAGTGATAAGTTTGAAGTAGAATTAGTCCCAAGAATATCAACGATATCATCTAGTAAAAAAGGCAGACACCAACCAGTACAATAGATATAACATAATGCAATAAGAAATCATTAAAAGAGTTACTGTATTATTAAGACTATACAATTATTCGTAATGGAACGTTATATTGCTAAACATGACATTATACAGAAGAACATCAATTTTAACGTAAGAAAATAAGATCCTTATATATAATCCTGTAAGACCAAATTTTTACCAGGAAATTGTGGACGTCCAGAAAATATGAGTAGGCTAATTAATGTAATTTTCATGTTCTATTTTAAACTGTTGATTAAGAATTATAGACAACGATGGAGGATCAATAGTAAACACTCCATTGTAAATAGATACAACAATAAACATTAAGGTGTATGATAAACATTTAAAACACGTTGGTCCACTGAATTTCTACACTCTGTATATTAGAAGGTTGCCAAATATGATAAAACTGTTAATTTATAAGATTTCCAACCGTATGATACACTCTTGAGCTTTAAGTCTGCTTATGTACGCTTTAGTGGTTTGAATACTACAAAAAATGGTGTCTTTAACGTTTAAAACATAGAAAGTCGGCATGTTTAAAGCAAAAATTGTACGGTATTAATATTATTATTGTATACGATGGCGGTTATTTGAACGCCTTCAATGTGAGGGACGCAATAGTTTATACTGTTGGACCAAACGAACTCGTATTAAAGTGTTGGATAAAACGATTTTGGACCAAACGAACGGCAATATAAACGTTGCACCAAACTATTTTGGACCATTTGAAGATGATCCTTTAGCACGTTAAAACAAAAAGTACACGATACAAAATGTAGTTCAATTTAGCTAAAAAGGCTAGCAGTGAGAACAAGATTATGGGGAAACTGTACGAATATCCCCGCCAAAGAAAATCTGAAGACTAAGCGTATTTCCAATTACCTACTGGATTTATACTAAAATATTTCCTTAATATTGCCAGATTTATTTCCTTTAACATTAATTCTAATTAGTTCTTAGGTTTGCTTCTACAGTGAAGGTAATGAGGTGTGTTTTTATTGAAATGTTGTAGCTTAGTATTAAATTAACAAAATTGCCAAATTTAATTTAAATACCCATATAAAAAGCATGGGAATTTAAATTTTTTAGCTTTTTTAATTATCAACGCAATATTATGCATAGAAAAACGCTTAAATATGATAAATTATTCCTTCTTTACGCGTTACAAAATGGTTTCAAAAGAAATTGTTTAATTTTATGCGTTTAGGGTCAAAAATGGAAAACCCAATTTTTATTCTATAAAACCTCCATAAACCCCTGTTCCCATCGTTCAATCGTACTGGAAATTAACTCAACAATATGCATGTGTTTATATAAATAACTAAGCATATATGTTTGTAATACGTAATCAAATATGTAAAAGTTATTATGTGAAAAAATATATTTTTCATAGAACAAACCCTTATTTATTCGCTTCATAAAGTCAAATTTATTTCCTTCCAAAAAATTTTAAAACTCTAAATAAAAATTCATACAACTTATTGCACTCAAAACATCTGTAATTATATGTCAATGAACTTTTAACAATTAGTTATAAATAATTATCGATAAAATATGTAATTAAGTTATTCAACTCACTTTTGTCCTAGCGGCGCCAAGACGTTGAGTGTGTTCTGTGGTAATCGGTACCTGCTACCGGCGAACTCCACCTATTGTAAGAGTGCAATCAACGGAGCAAAGTCGTAAGCAAAACTGCGGGATGAAGTGAGTGGGGAGTGGCTCGTTATTCATTTTATCGTTGTTTAGACTGCGACAATGCAGAGAAACACATATCGCCATAATCACTGGTGGCACCTGCCAGTTGGGCGGCAGTTGACGTGAGAACACCGTGGTCGTGGAGGTAATTAAGTTGGTTATTTGTGTGTATATACTAATGTATGTATAAAATATTGTGTTAAGTTGCATTTTGAATATATCTTAGCTTAAATAAGTAAAATATAAATATTCGGATCATGGGTGCAAGCTGTGGGGTCCTTCTGTGGAGAAATGAGCTAAATATTGAGGGATCACACAGTTGTAACCCCTTACACAGTTCTTGGGTTATTATTTAGGGAATGTCAAATATAAATGTCAGGTTACATCCAAACCATTAGACAAATTGATGCTTTTAGAATGAAGAGCCGAAGCTAAGTCTGTTCAACAATACTCACCTAGTTATGAGCCATATTGGAATTTTCTCTGATAACAACCAGGCCTACGCACATACACCTCCACATGTTGCCATATTCTATACGCATGACACATTTTTAACCCAAAAAATGTTTTCACTATATAGTTTGTTGACATAAATTAGTTAGATGAATAGAAGTATTTCATATAATTTTATTTGGATTTGTAGGTTGATCAGGCATTGATCATGAAATCTTAAAGTCAAACCCAATTAGAGACGTGGTGGTCGTGCGTACAAAAAGATGAACATTTTACTTAGTTATCAATCATTTCTAAAGTGATCGAGCATTATAACTAGTTCCTCCACTGGCAAACGACTAGTCACTAATCGTATGAACAACAATTTCTTGAACTGCTGAAGAAAACATCTCTGTATTATAATATCGCTTTATATCAATTTGCACAAGAGATTTTAACGTTTGTTTTTATTTGTAGTTTGTTTAGTTACCGTGATGTAACAATATTTTGAAAGTTGAGAATAAAAACGTATATGTTTAACTGTGTGTTTAGCGTGGTGTGACGTAACATTCTTTCTTGTATGTTTTGCATACAAATAATAATAAATATGATTTTTTACTTTTGTCATACAAAGAATTATTCTCTAAAAGTTTTATATATCTTGTATTTCTGATAAAAAATCTTTTGTATTTTTCCCAAACCTCTGCTTTGGAAAAATTTTACAGGCCCATTTTCCTTTTTTTGTTTTTACATATAAAAAGTTCTCAAAACGATTTTGCTGTCTGTCAATTATTTACATTTGTTCCTTGTAATTTCCTGAAAAAAATATAATAGTATATACTTTTATATTGTAGAACATAATTTATACAGCTCTAAAGTAACCTATGTACATACAGTAAAAAATGGACTGCCAGTACAGAGATTTGTAGCTTCCAGATGCAGAGTTAACCAATGTTTCAGACCGAAATCGATCTTATAATCTAACATCTTTTACTCGAAGTTTACAGTTTTTTTTATATAATCACAGTAGTTGATACATCGAAAAGTGTTGGAATGGGTGATTGATCATATTTATATAATAGATAATACCACCACCGCAGCAAACCTACAGACTAGGTGAATTTCGAAGCAATAATATTAACTTACGGTACAACTATAATCAGTGATGAGAGTGTAAATGTAAAGTCCTTGAAATTGTGAAACGGGTTAAGTGCCACTAATGTTTACCATATACACCCGATAAACCTAGTTCCCATAGTCCGATCATACTTGTTTGCGCAGTACGTTTTCTGTGTCGTAAGGAAAACGAAGTTTCACACATTTGTGCCAAATTTCGTCAAATCAGATCATTTGCTCGAGTTTTCAAGCTAACGCACACATAAATAAATAAAAATATATATTTGTTGTCATTAATGCCGTTTTTGGCCTCTAGGGTAATCAAAATTAAAATGTAATCTGTCCTGGGTCCAGGTCTAACCATGAGCCCCACGGTAATAGCTTATTCCCTGTATGGGAAATTGGCTAAAACAAACCCCTAAAAAAGCAATTGGAGAAGTTATATAACTTCTAAAACCTACTATTCTATAAAGAAATTAAATCTGGATGTTATATCCAGGTAAAACAATTTCAGAATAATTTGAAACCTTAAATGTATTATAGGTTAATTCCTGTTTTAATTACAGGAAAAGATAAATCAAATGGCCAATAACACTGAACTAATAACCTAAAATGTCTATGTAATTTTGCATTGTTTCAGAGTTAGTCAATCATTACCACTTTAGCCATCCCTTCTAAATCAACCAATTACAAACACAATCGAAATAAGAGTTGACGGTGGAAGTTTAAGTTCATTTAAGTGACATAAAGTTATAAAATGGTATTAGTACATATCGCTCTCCCTTTCAGTTCCAAATACTTAACCAACATGTAAGTTTATTTAAACAACCAATAACAACATTACAATTGATTTAATTCCGTGGACTAGTTGCATTTAACACATCTTCCCATAACTATTTCTGCAAATACTACTCGTATTCATTAAACTATATTAGTCATGATTTTTAATACGGCATCATACACAAGATTACAAAGCTTGTACAGCAAAGACTGATTCAGAGTGAGAGAATTATGCATCTAGTTATCCATTAGAATCCATTCTTCTTCACTAATCCATTAGCTGCATTAGAATCCATTATCCTTAATTATCCATCTAGAAACATTAAATCAACTTTTTATGGGTTTACTGTCTAAAGAGGTAGGATATTCCATCGATGTATAGGTTATATACATCGATGGAATATTCTCAACATGTTAATTATTATAGTGATATTGTCCACCGTCATGTCCATTCGAAGAGCTTATCTGAATCACATTCATAACATTATATTTCACATTTTATTAATATGTGTAACGTAAAACTATATATACAAATTTAGGTAATTAACGTTATTTTAATTATTTTAATATACACGCTTATCGCATTTATGAAAAAACCACGGTATTCAAAACAGACTGAAAAAAATGAAAATTATCATCATAATAAGAGTATATATTATTATGTAGTTAAAATGTAAGCTGGGCCGAAAATGAAATATCCAAACATTTCGGTTTGGGTATTAGTAACATACAATTGTATCCCTTCAACTGTTACAATTAGATATCTGTTACTTTTAGGTTCATTACGAGATTCCAAGAAAATTATAACAATCAGCAATTTCAAACAAATAATTAAAAGTTATATACAACATGCCTTGTTCATGAAAAGGCTCTAAAATATCTTTTAACATCGTAGTACTCAAAACCACATAAAACACAATTTTGATTTCGTACTGGTCATTTAATGGCAGATTGTTAAAAATCGTACCATATGAACAACAAATACAAGTAAACTTTGGAATATATACATTATATTGTTAAACGTGCAAAAAGCTTACATGCAACTATAATCTAAGTTGAATTAACTTATTAAACTGGGATCGAGACAATTTCTTATCTATATAAATAAAATTACAGCTTTGTCTGTACATTGCGTAGAATTATGCAGTGTTTTGGTTATTTTTACGTTTCATAGCCTAAGAAACCCGAAACGAGTCTTATCTCAATTAATTTCTGTCTGCCTGTCTTTCTGTCTGTCTCTCCCTGCCATTCTGTCTTTAACGCCAAAATGTCAATTTACGCGGCCTACTCCTAGAAAACTAGAGTACCGATCAAGATTAAAATCATTTTTCTGTATCACTGGATTGGTGAAAGTGTCTTTGGCTATTAAAATATTAGAAATAAAATAACAAACAATCAAAAACCCAATTTTGTGCAATTTTTTCAAGTTATCTCCCAATGTTTACTACGTACGTAATTTATGAAATAACGAACAGTTGCTTGGATTAAGATTCTCACTTCTAGCTGTCACTGATATTTTTACATTGAATGTTGTTTGAAAAAAGTGAACCACGCCTTGCTTGTGAGGGTATTTTTAGAACAGGACGATAACAGCTGAATGTGTGTCCTGGCAAGAAAGACAGTCACCCGAGAAAAAAATCTAAGTCCAAAGAAGAGTTTTACTGGACACAATGAAAAACTTGCATCTCAAGTTTTTGAGGGATTATAAATTTAAAATTTCGCACGATTTATTTAGGAAACTAAGGCCGTTTCACATTTTAAGCCAAGACTATCAGATAGAGAGACATGCCTTTGCATTGAACATGCTAATATGAAACTTGTTATAGACAAGCTATATTTCCTGAAAGTTCTACCAAGTAATTCGTAGTCAAAACTGTTGAACATGGCCTGTTGCAGGACACAATACCAGAAGTGTATGTTTAGAAAGTGTGTAAAATGCACGTCAAAACTGATACTTGATCTAAGCACGTTGGCCAAGCTCATCAGTACAAAAATAAGAGCAATTTGTTTCTCTTAATTCATAAATTACCTGAGTTTTTCCCAAACATTAAGATGTAAACCTGGAATATTTCTGTTTCCGTACATGAAAAGGGTCCGATGGACGGAATCGGTGGCACAATAAAAAGAACGGCCGATTCTGTCGTTCTTCACGGTCAGGATGTTGATGTTACAAATGCTCACGATCTGATTGAAAAAGTTCAACCACTATACCCTAAAATAAAGTTGATAGAAGTTAGTAGTGATGAAATCAATAAATGGAAGTACTATTTACCCTTAAACCCACCCACCAATACTAAAAGGAATTCAAAAAGTACATAACATTTTGTGGCATCGGGTCAGCATGCTGCAATAGTTAAAGTTGTTTAGAGACTTGACTGCTTAAAATCTTTTGGCTGTAGCCTAAGAGTATAACATGTAAAAATAATTAGAAGACGACCTAAAAACGAACTAAACTTAATCGATATTCTAATTCGACCATCACAAAACAAAAAATATAAAATCAAAACTATCGTCATTTTTTTTCATTTGTATCGCATTGATAGTCAAAAGTATCAATCTATAACTACTTTTCCTTAAACAGTTTAACAATCTTATGCTTTTATAATGCTTTCATCAATGGTAATTCACAATCATAGTAAAATA